CCCACTAAAAATAATTACAGGTCAGTATCCCTGATGAACATGGATACAAAATTTCTCAACAAGATACTACAAAATTCAACAGTGCATTAAAAAAATTATTCACCATGATCAAGTGGGATTCATTCCTGGGCTGCAGGGCTGGTTCAATATCCACAAATCAATCAATGTGATACACCACATTCATAAAAGAGAGGACAAAAACCATATGATTCTTTCAACAGATGCAGGAAAAGCATTTGACAAAATACAGCATCCTTTCTTGATAAAAACCCTCATGAAAGTCATGATAGAAGGAACATGCATTAACATCATAAAAGCCATATATGAAAGGCCCACAGCTAATATCATCCTTAATGGGGAAATCTCTCAGTTTTTCAGGAACACAACAGGGATATCCACTCCCACCACTGTTGTTCAACATAGTGTTGGAAGTCTTAGCATCAGCAATCAGATAACAAAAGGAAATTAAAAGCACCCAAATTGTCAAAGAAGAAGTCAAACTTTCACTCTTCACAGACGACATGATATTCTACATGGAAAACCTGAAAGACTCCACCAAAAAAACTGTTAGAGCTGATAACAGTAATTAAGCAATGTAGCAAGATATAAAATCAATATACAGAAATTGGTCGCACTTCTGAGAAGCCTCCTCACCATGAGCATGGAGCCTGGTGTGGGCCTTGATCCCATGAACCATGAGATAAGGACCTGAGCTGAAATCAAAAGTTGGATACTCAACCAATTGAGCCACCCAGGTGCCACATTCAGAGTTATTATTGATAGGTTTGTTTTTATTGCCATTTTTACTTGTTTTGTCATTGTTTCTGGGGATTTTCTCTGATCCTTATTTCTTTGTCACTTTTGATCTTTCCTTCCCATTCAAAGAGTCCCCTTTAATATTTCTTGAATGGCTGGTTTAGTGGTCAAAAACTCCTTTAGTTTTTGTTTTTTTCTACTTGTTTTCTCATTGTTTCTGGGGATTTTCTCTGATCCTTATTTCTTTGTCACTTTTGATCTTTCCTTCCCATTCAAAGAGTCCTCTTTAATATTTCTTCCATGGCTGGTTTAGTGGTCAAGAACTCCTTTAGTTTTTGTTTGTCTGGGATACTTTTTATCTCTCCTTCTATTCTAAATGACAGCGTCACTATATAGACTATTCTCAGCTGCATATTTTTCCCATTCATCACTTTGAATATATCATGCCCTTTTATCTTGCCAAATTTCTTTTGAGTTATATGCAGCTAACCTTAGGGTCTTCTCTTGTAAGTTAGGGACTTCTTTTGTCTTGGTCCTTTTAGGATTT